ACTCAGCACTAGCTGCTGAGGGATGAGGGCATTCACTGCGCTCCTGCCACACACCTGGGCTGGGCAAAGCGCCACAGCCACGTGCTGGTGGGGACAAACACCCTCCCAGGAGCATCTGCTCGCAGCACTCCACAAACAAGGAGCTTCCCTGCTTTGTCCATGGCAGTTATTTTATCCAAGGAAGACTGCAAGGCTTCCCCAGCTCTCCCCAGCAGACCTGCAGAGCTGGGAGGGCGTTGTTGTTCAAGGTGGTTTCGAGCAGGTCCCTCAGGGCCCTGAGCAGTGCAGGAAAAGGATATTCCTCCTCATCAGTCACGTTGGCATACTGGGCCAGCAGCGCAGCCTTCCTCTGCTTCTCCTCCTGGGACACCTCCTTGGGCTTCACCACTATCCTGGCCTGCTTCTCCATCATGCTGGTGATGGCCTGGACCTCATCTGGCAGGAGAGGAGTGACAGTATCAGCCCACAGACACGGCCACCGAGCCCCTGGTGTCACTCTGCCTCCTCCCACCCAGCCCTTGTCCTGCAGTAACATTGTCCTGGGGAAATGCACCCGCCCAAAGGGAGACATCTCATCCAAAAACACCCCCCGAGCTTCTCCCAAGGGTGCTGTCAAAGCCAGCTGCTTTGGGGAATTCCAGCTGGGATCTGGGAGAGATGGAGCTGCTGAGGAGCCACCACGGGGCTGGCTAGTGCCAGCATGGGGCTGACACCCTGAGGTGACAGGGCTTCTCTCCTGGAGGGGGAATTCCCTGTGCTGCACCCAGCCACTGTTATTCCTGGAAGTTTCACAATGAAACTGGAATCAGTCAGGCTCTGGCTAATGAAAATCCATTTGACTCCAAATCACATTCTCTTCCACTTCAAAGCAGCTTAATAAGTTTACTTAAGTATGTACTTAATCCCCATCAAAGAGAAATTCTGAAAACCTGAAGTGAGGGATCAGTTCCATGCTCTCCCTTTCTTTCCAGCCAAGAGAGACCAACAGCTGATTTACCTTCTAACACTGAAATTCCACTGCCACTTCCTAAAATGACATCTGGGTTTTGATGCCAGGTTTTTTTTTTTTTCAGTCTGTTAATCAATTATCGTCAGGACTCTGTTATTCTGAGTGGATACACAGTTCAGTGGGGATTTATCCTTTTATGGAACCCCAGTGATAAAATTTCACCTGGAACTCCACGAACCCAGACACACTGTGCAGCCTTTTGATAATAAGAAAAATCCAGACACAGACAGAAGCAGCACAGGTTTCTAGACCATAATAGCTGCAGTGCCAGCACTGAGCAGAGACAGCCCTGGACGTGCTGGGAAAGGAGGTTTCTGAAAAAACCACAGAATGGTTTGGGCTGGAGCTTAATGACCATTTCATCAGAAAAAAAAATCCTATAGAAGAAGAAAAACACACAAAAAAAATCCTGCACCAAAACCACACACATGGCTGGGGGGACAACGACGACACAAACAAAACAAAAAACAACCAAAAAACCAAACCAATACAAACAATAAAAAAAATAACCACCACAAAAAAAACAACCTGATGCTAAACCAAAAAACAACAGAAGGCCAAAAACCCCACAAACAAGCAAAAAAAAAAACCCTCAAAAACCACTTTTCCCCTGCAGGATGATGAACCCAAAGAGCAGCAAATGCTGGGGCAGCCCAAAGTGAAGCTGCTCATTCCCATGCCAGATGAAAGAGTAACTGAGCAGCAACGGAGTGAGAGGCAGGTCAGACCTGCAGCCGTGGGGCAGCACTGGTTTAACTCCCACCAGGACAAACACAAAGTTCCCTTTGAGGTGAGGCCCTGCAGGTCACCCCACACTGAGACCAGGGCACAGCACCCCAAAGCACAGCACTCTACCTTCTTTCTCCTCTTTGGAATCAACGACCTGGGAGTCAGACCACCTCTCCACAACCTCCCTGCACACATCGTTCAAGAGATCTTCTTCCTAGAAAGGGAAAAGAGACTCCTCAGACTTGGAACAGCACCAGTCAGACAAGAAAAGCAGCAGCTACAAAGGATCTGCACGCCCAACAGTCAGCTCAGGAACAGCATTTCACCTCATGTCTGCCTGTTAAATACACACAGGACTCTGGTTTCCCTGGGATGACACAACCACACCGTGCCTGGTCACTGTGCACATGGACAGCTCTGACACAAGGGTGGCTGTGCAGGTGCCACCACCCTGCCCACACCCAGGAGACCATTGGGGGTCTTGGCTCCCAAAACCTCCAGTCTTGCATCCTCTCTCTTCCTGAGCAAGGCCACAGGGAAGTGAGTCAGTGCTACCTCCACGCCCAGCTCACTAAAGGGAATAAATTACATGGGAAAATCACAGGTCAGGGCCAGTGCAGGGCTGGAACCCCTGTGCTGGTGCTGAAAGACCATCGCCTCCCACCTGCAGGGACATCCTGGTCTCCCTGGACCTGCCTGGAACATTAAACACGACTTAGAAGTGGCAGTGGGACACATCCCCCTGCTCCAGCAGATCTCCAGGGGCTGCAGGGCACTGCTGCCTCACCATGTCCCACCACAGAACCTCAGGGGAATCCCAGCCACGGTGCCTGGAGCAGCTCCTGACCCTGCAGAGCTGCTCCTCTCACAGCTTCTCTCTCCTCTCTCCAGCTGTGCTCCTGAAAGTGGCTTTTTCCCCTGCTTAAATTTGTTACCTAAAGGTGCTGGATGTCTTGGAGCTGATTGGCATCTCCTGAAGGCAGGAGAGCCAAATACCACAGATGGGGGGGTCACAGAGCTCAGGGGCCACCACCAAATATTTCCAAAAAACAAGAAATTATCTTGGTTTGGCATGCAGTAAATACAGAGAAAAATCAACCACGGAAAATACAAGTGAGGTGGATTCTGTCTGGTTTAAAGAGAAGAACTGGACAGAAAGGTAACTCAATTTAAAGTTTCTTGATTAGGAATGATAGAAAATCACTAGTGCAAGACATGATCAGGACTGAGGAACCATGGACATGAGAGCAGATGTCACCTGAGACATCAGCTTATTTTAATAAGGTTTGTGAAACACAAACAAGTGAACAAAAAAATCCCCTGTAATTTATGTATGGAACAAGGAGAAGAGACTTGGCAAGAAAACCCCCAAATTCACCAAATAAAACACTGTTTCAAAAGTCAGTACAGAAATAAGCACAGAGTCTAAAAATAAAGAAACAAAAAAAGATATTAAAAAAGAACAGACTACAAGGAGTAATTACAAAGTCTGAGGGTTCAAGAGACAAATATGTTTTACAGGAAAGGCAGAAAAATCAAAGTGAGCCAGAAACTGCCAACGAGGCTCAACTCAGCTGTGGCTGTGGCGTGACTGGGGCAGGCCTGGGCTGGAGGAACCCCAGAGCTGCTCAGTCCTGGCAGCAGCAGCACAGAAGGGAGATCAGCACTGAGCAGAAAGGAGAAACAGCAGAAAACAGAATATCAGGAAAGGGGAACATCAGTGGCAGAGCCAGGACACACTTCCCAGGCCTGGAGCAGGCCAGGCACAGTGACAGGGGTGGAATGAAGTCTGGTAATTACAGGGAGGTTAATTAACCTCGACTACTGCAGAGCAGCACTTTGCAAAGACATCTGGCTCCATCCCTCAGGATACAGCCTTTGCTTCTCCAGCTCTTTCAGGCTCAAAGCTGCACTGCCACAGCTGAAGGAGCTCACTGCTGTGCCCCAGGGACAGCAGGGGAGGGTGCTCTGACTTTTAGGAAACCCTAAAAGTGCAATGGCACAGTCAGTGTACAGAAGGAATGGTGTCATACCCGTGATAACAAAAAGCTGATTGTACCTGCCCAGTCCCTTTGGGTTTTGTGCTCCCACACTGATAAAATCAGCGACAGCCACTAAGCAGACAGTTCCCAACATCAGCACCACTCATGACTTAACATTTTACACTATGAAGCATCCATTTATGAAAAATCCCGAGACACAGTCACTGTAAAAATCCTACAAGGAGGATTACCGAAGAGAAATCCCTCCCTGCTCTCTCTGCAGGAGCAGAGGCAAGCCCTGCCCACGCACGGCTGTTCCTGTCCGTCCCAGCCCAGCGGGATCCGATTCCTGACGGACAAGGCGTGTGTGAGGCACGAGAGCACCGCCCCAACCTCCTGCCAGAGGATTTTACCATCCCAAGTCCCCTCTCGAGTGCCAGGCCGCCCAGCTCGCGGTGACCGCTGCACCCAAACACAAACCCAGGGATCGATCCCTGTGCTCCCCACGAACAGCCCCTTCCACAGGGCTTCCATCAGCCCGAGCCTGCCACAAAACCCCTCCCCAAACAACACCAAAACCCCGCAAGGCTCGCGGGTGGGGGCAGAAGGAGCCCCCGGGTGTGGGTGTGCTCCCAGTCCGGGGGTACCGCGCCAGGGCTGCGGGGATCCGCCCCGCTGCACCCCCGGAGCCCCCGGCGGGAGCGGGGCGAACGGCGAGACCCCGCAGGCCCGGGGCCGGGAGGGACCCCCGCCCCTCACCAGGCAGGCGGCCAGGACGGCCCGCAGCGCCTCCAGCCGCTCCTCGTCGCTCTCCTCCTCCCGCAGCAGCCCCTCGATGTAGGCGCCGTACACGGCGCGGTCCAGCCCCAGCGCGTCCAGCCGCGCCGCGAGCCAGGCCGGGAAGGGCGGCGGCTCCGGGAGCAGAACGGGAACCGGGATCGGGATCGCGATCGGGAGCGGCGCCGCGCCCGCCCCGCCGGGCGCCGCCATCTTGCGCCTGCAGAGGGAGGGCACGGCGGCCGCGGCGGGACAAACTTGTGGCCCCGGCGGGAGCGGAGGGAGCGGGGTCGGGGTCAGGGTTGGGGTCGGTGCGGACGGGAGCGGCGGGGCCGAGCGGGCGGCCCGGTGTGCTCGGTGTGCTCCGTGTGCGCCCTTGGCACGGCTTCTCCTTCCCCCGGAGAGCGGCTTCGCGGGGAGCGGCGCGTCCCTGCGCGGCCGCCGTGCGGGGCGGGGCGGCGGCGGAATTTAAACGCGGACGAGCGGCGGGCCCGGGCAGGGCCATGGCCGGTGCGGCCTCCCCGCGGCCCCTCCGCGGACAGTCCTTCTACCTGGACCTGCCGAGCGGCCGCAGCGCCCGGCAGCTGGCGGAGGCCATCGGGCGGCTCGGGGGGGTGAGCGCGGCCCGGGGCCGTGAGGGGCCGTGAGGGGTCCGGGGCCGTGAGGGGCCGTGAGGGGTCCGGGGCCGTGAGGGGCCGTGAGGGGCCCGGGGCCGTGAGGGGTCCGGGGCCGTGAGGGGCCGTGAGGGGCCGTGAGGGGTCCGGGGCCGTGAGGGACCGTGAGGGACCCGGGGCCGTGAGGGGTCCGGGGCCGTGAGGGACCGTGAGGGACCCGGGGCCGTGAGGGGTCCCTGGAAGTCGGGGCGGTCTCGGGGCGGTGTCTTGAGGCGGCTTCGCCCCTTCTCTGACTCTGCTCATTTTTCAGTGTTCCCTGATTTCCTTGTTTTCCCGGTGGTCGGTTCCTCCGCCCCCTGGAGTGTCGTTTGGATGGGGAGGTTGTGATTGCCTCTCTTCTGTGCCTGCAGCACAACCTGCAGTGACCCTTGTGGCACTTCACACCCACTTCATGGTTTGGGAATCTCCACCTACAGGGGTTCTGCAATGGAGCAGAACCAGCTTGTTCATTCAGCAGCTGTTATTTTGGGCTGCCCAGATCTTTATCTTCCTGAGGGCTTCACACCTGGGCCCTGTGACTCTCTGCCCCCTGCACAAATTCTGAGAAGCCAAGTCCTTATTGGCTTACAATACCATTAGTGCCCAAACTTTTGGGTTTCCACCTCTTTCTTGTGCAAAGGTCTGTGTATGTTTCATCTCTCTGGTTCCCTCCTGCCCTGTTGTCTGTGGAGCTGCTTGCTCAGTTGTTCACTTTCTCCTTTATTTTTCTAAAACTGGTTATGTTCTCCTGAGAACAGAGCTCCTCCAGGCTGATCTATGATGTCCAGACCCGTTTCCTTTGATGTTGGGAGTTTTTTTTTTGAAAGCACTGTGTGAGGAGTAGGTGGTGGTGACAGTCAGGGATGTCTGGATCTGATTTTCTGGTGACTATTTGCAGTAAATCTCTAGGGCATCCCAGGATCTCCTGGTCAGTATGGAAGGAAAGAAGGAATGTGATTGCTGCCAGCAGCCCCTGGCTGTGTGGGGGTTGAGCCAGGGCCAGCAGCTTTGTTCAGCAGGGCTCTGTCAGCTCGGGGTCAGACACTTGCAGAGATGCTCTGTTCTGTCTCGCTGCAGGTGACTGAAAGCTTCCTCAGCAAAGAAGTCACCTGCGTGGTGTCCAGCAACAGAGAGGCCAAGCGGGGCCAGGCCAGGGCTCGGGAGGAGAAGCAGAACAGCCCAGCTGCAGAAGGCACAAAATCCACGAGCTCAGTGCCTGCTGCCCCCAAAGGCACCCCAGCCAGACCTCGCCAGAAGCCACCATCCACTGTAAGAGCTACAAAGGTTTTGTCCGAGGGGTCTGTAGGGTAGAATCTGCAGCTAGCTTTGGAAGGTGGAGTTGTTCCTGCTCTGAGCAAATATTCTGTGTGGTTTTCTCCCTGCTCTGTTCCTGTTTCCCTGGCTGTCACTATTCATACTCTTGTTCATTGTGTCTGCCATCATTGTCTACTCAAATGTGCATGTCACAGCTTTGGGCTGCAATCAAGGAATCTGCTGGAATGGCAGGGGGTGTGGAGGCCTTGGATGGCTTCCTGAGGGAACAGGCAGAGGTGTGGTGAGAAAAGCCAGAGAAATACAGACAGGGAAAGCCATTGTAGACTCACAGTCACAGGGCAAGGCCCCTGTACCCTGGGAGGAGATCCATGAGGGCCTCCTGCAGGAAGGGGCTTTTCCTGTCCCATTTGCCTGTTGGAGCTGGGCTTTCTGCTCACAAATGCTTGTGGCCAGACTAACATCCCACCTTGAATGTGCTGTCTGCTGGAAGCTGTGGCTGGGGAAAGGCAGCTGCCCCAGTCCAGGCCTGGGGAATCTCTGCCAACTGGAGCTGAACCACCTGCAGTGGGAAACCTGAGCTGCAGAGGTTTCTCCCCATTTTGGTCCCCTGTCCTGGCTCCCAGCACTGTCCCTTGTCTTACAAAGGGCTGAACCAATCTGCTGAGACTGTTGTCTCAGGGGGACCTGATCTGTCTACAACTCCTTGATGGGAGGTTGTAGCCAGATGGGGCTTGGTTACTTCTCCCAGGTAACAAGTGACAGGGCAAGAGAAAGCAGCCTCAAGTTGTGCTGGACAGGTTTAGATTGGATGTTAGTGAAAACTCCTTCATGGAAAGGCTTGTCCAATCCTGGCACAGCTGCCCAGGGCAGTGGTGGAGTCCCCATCCCTGGAGGGATTGAAAAACTCTGTGGGACATGGGTCAGTGGTGACCTTGGCCGTCCTGGGGAGGGGTTGGACTTGATGACCTTAGAGGGCTTTTCCAGCCTGAACAATTCCATGATGCAGCAGGCAGTTTGCAAGCTAAATTGCTGCTTCCTCTTGGCTCACTCTGGAGCCTCCATTTCCCTGCTGGTCAATAATTCCAAGCCTTGGCTGGTGCTGGTGGTGCAGCTGAGTGGTCCTCTCTGCAGTTTGCCTTCTCTGAAAGGCACTTTCCCCTGGCAGAGATGAGCCCAGCAGAGTGAGGGCATCCCCAGGGATTGTTGCTCTCCAGCTCTTTGCCGTGACCTGTTCGTGTCTTCTCTCTCCACAGGCGCTGCTGAGCCGGGGAAAGGAGCTGCTGAACAAGGCCATGAAGAACCAGGTGAGCAGCCTTGGATGGGCTCTGCTGGGGCTGGGTGTGCTCAGAGCTGTGCTGAGCAGAGCAGAACCAGTGCCAGCCTTCCTGCAGAGCCCCTGCCTTGCTGACAGAGCAGATCCCGGGGCAAGGAAAGGCACAAAACAGTTGCTTGTGGCCTGCAGAATGCTGTGTAGTGCTCCTGGTCACTGCTGTTTCTGGAGCCATGTCATCCAGTGTTGTACCTCTGAGGCCTGTCCCGGCCATCTGGGTGCTCAACACAAGAGAATTATTAACACAAGACCTGTTGTTAGATGAATTTTTAGCCTAAGAAGAACTAAAGCAATGTAGCTGAGGCAAAAGGCTCCCCTGCAGTCCTTTCCCTGAGGCCACTAATGGCCAGATAAATCTCAGTGCCCACTTAGAAGCTCATGTTGTAGCGGGGATGAAACATTTGTCCAAGATGCTGCTGTTAATTTGGGATGGATAAAGCATGAGCTCTATCCTTTACTGCTGTGCCCTGGTTTTAACAACAGCCATGCTCTGCTCTGTCAGTTGGGCAGCAGGAAGGGCTCTGAGCTCAGTTTAGAGCTGCACGTGGCTGTGCTTTGAGCTGTGCTTTGCCAAACCTCTCTGTGCAGGACTCCTGCAGTGGCAGCAGCATCCTCGCCAACGCTCGCCTGTGGGGAGTCCAGATCCTGCATGTGGATGGTATCCTTCACTGTGGGGTGCCAGCAGGCTGCTGGCAATGAGGGATTTTGGAGACAGGTGGAGCAGAAGTGATGTAAGAATAGTAGAACAGAAAGAAGAAATTGCAAGCAAATATCCTGGAGTGATGCCATCCTGGCCGGGCTGGGTCTGCTCTCCAACACCAGATTTGTGTGTACAGAATGTGCCACTGTCACATTTGCAACTGCAAACACAGGCTACATTGTCATGTACTGAAGGTGGAACATTAGGAAATGTCAATATCTTGGTCAGTACCTCAATTTGTTCCAAAAATACCATTTTTACTAATTAACTGGAAGTACAATCATGATACAGGCAGGATTTGGTTGGGTTTAATTAGGAAGTGCTGGTGTTTGAGGACCTGTTCTGGAAGGCACCGTGATGGATGGGGAGAGGGTGATGGGAAAGGCAGATGGTGGAACTCTGCTACTAATAATAGGTGTGGAGTAAAAGGTTCCTGAGTGTCTGCTGACAGTGACATACAGCTGTGGCTGAGCCTGTCTGGATCCTGTCCCTGGGCTCTGCTCAGCCTCTGGGGCTGCCAGACCTTGGGCTCTGCTCTGTGTGCTGCACAGCTCCTGCCAGGGTCTCCTTCCCACAGAGCCCCAGCAGCCTCCAGCTCTGCTATCCCTCAAAGTGTTCTCTTGGCTTCATCTTGGACCATTCCCTGGGGGAGAAGTTGTGTCAGGGGCTGGAGGCTCCAGCTTTTCCCGGTGCCGTGGGGGGTGCTCTGCAGTCTGAGGGGAACAGCTCCCTTCCTTGGCTGAGCTTTGGCTCTTTGACATCCCACCTGCACAGAAATGTTGTCCTATGCCCAGCAGCTGCTGAGAGCCATCTCGGGAGCAAGGAAGCAGTGCCAGAAGACAGAGGTAACCACTTACCTGCAGCCAATTTCAGGAGTTCAGGGCTCCTGAGCAGCTTTGAACAGTTCTTGTAGCAGCTTCAGTGCCAGTGGGTCAGTCAGGGGGATGCTGGAGCCTATCTGGTGCTTGTGTTAGTGATGAAGATGAAAAGATTCAAAGAATTTTTATAAACCTGGGGGTAAATCCAGATGAGAACGAGGCAGCTGTTGCTAAGTATCAGCATTCATAGCACAGCTAATTCTGACTTTGACCCTAAGGGTCATGGTTTAACCCCAGATGGCAACTCAGTCTCACGCAGCCCCCCTCTGAGATCCTCCTGGGATGGGAGAGAACTGGGAGAGACAAAGTGAGAAAGTTTATGAATTGAGATAAAGATGATTTAGTAGGGAAAGCAAAAGCCACACACATGAGCAAAGTGAAGTAAGATGATGACGATGTGGCTGGTACACTGGCTCACCAAAGGATTGGTTAATGCATTGGAGAGGTCAGAGGGGAGGTGGGATGTAAGGACAGGGCATGGCAGCCTTGATGTTGTATTTCAACTAACTCTGAGTAACTTGGGAGACAGAATGAGGGGAGGTGCTCTAGGTGGTACAGGAGCTCTGAAGTGGTGAGTGAGGCTGCTGCTCTGGGATCAGCAACTGCAGCTCTGCTTGTGCTGCTCCCATGCTGAATATGTCCCTTTTTTCTCTAGGTGAAATGCCCTGCCTCCAAATCCAAAATTCACAAAGGTAGGCCTGGAAGTTGTGCTGCTGTTTATGCTCAGATGTGGAGCTGCTTGGAGAAGCTTCATTTAGAATTTGAAATACATCAAAACCTTTGGCAATCCCAAAATCTGCCAGCTCTTTAGGTAGTTCCCCTTGAATGGGTTCTGTTACTCCTTGTTGGAGACTGGCTGCCGCCTCCCAGGACAGCTGGGGACCTTTGATTTCACGCTGTGTTTGAAAATCCTAAAAAACCCTTTCCTGCCAGCTCCCAGCATCCCAAGGCACCTGTGACAGTGCTGCTGCACATTGAATCCAGCAGCTTAAAGGAGGTTTTGAGGAATAATGCATCCTGCAGAGGAGAGCGTGTTCCTCCCAGCCCACTCACTTCTGTTGGGCTGAGATGTGCTGCTGAGACACGGAGCTGGGGATGGCTCTGCCAGGGAGGAGGGAGGGGGAACAGCCAGGTTCTCATCTGCAATTAGACAGGAGCCAATTGTGCTGCTGAAATTGGCACTGGTGACATTTGACTGCGTGCAGGCTCCAACCTGGATGGTGTGTGAGACACTTGGGGGTTATTTCCCAGTTTGGGCTGAGGGGAAGGTGCTGAAGAAAGGCTCAAGAAGCTGTTGGATGTGGCAGATTGAGCCTGCAAGCTCTGAGACCTGTGCTGGGCACACTCTGAGCCTGTCCTGGGGTCTTGCAGTGCCATCAGAGCCGTTTGTCACTGCTGGGATCACTCAGGACCCATCTGAGCTGGATCTGGGGCCTGCACATGGCCTCTCTCTCAGAAGTGCTGAGCATTTGGCAGTGTTTGCATGGAAAAAACTTGATCCTGTACTGAAATAGCAGCTTCAGTGACGTAGCAGCACATTTGAGGGAAGCAGAGGGTGAGGCTGGTGAGGACAGGTGGGCTCAGCCTTTCTGGGGAAGGAGGGTGAAATATCTCTGGAAAAAATAGCACTGAGTGCTAGGATCACAAGAAAACAAAACTCCTCGCCCTTTAGAGGCCGTGAGGGAGGCAGGAGAGGCTTGGTTTCAGGGTCAGGCAGATGCCTTGTGGGAACACCTTGGTGTTTTTTGTTTCTTAGCCAGATCAGGACTCAGGTTTCCAAGGTGAGCGTAATGTGAGTGGAACATACCTGCAGGACAGGAGGGACCTTGGAGCCTCCCCTCCCAGCCTGGCTCTGAAAACATTTTTGCTCAATGCACTGCTGAGACTCTTTTGCTCTCTTCTTGCTCTCCAAAGGAAGCAAAGCTGCTGTGTGCCCTCCTTGAGGACTGATACTGCTCTCGAGTAGTGTCCTGGTGCCAGGCTTGGCTGGCAGCACCTTGGTTTGTCTCCAGCATGTCTTGCTGCTTTGACATCACCATCCTGGCCTGAGCCAGGGTGATGAGCCAGGTTCTGCACTTGAGGCAGGGTGAATGGAGGAGAAGGTGCTGGAAGTTGTTGCAGAGCTCTGAGCCAGTGCAGCAGCAGCTGCTGCAGTTCCTGAGTTCCCTTTTCATACTCAGTGGCACGTTGTGGAGGGGGCTGTGTGACAATTCTTGTGATTGGAGTCAGAATGCTCAGGGTTAGGCCAGTGGCTGTATGGCTGAGGAGGCATTAAAGATGTGAGGGGATGGCTGAATACTCTTTCAAAGGTGAAATGTCCCGTGGTTGGGCTGCCTAGGGTTTGGTCACCCCACTGCACACTTGGGGCCAGGGGTGTTGAGGATCACCTGAAGAGCTGTTTAGTCTGTGCTTGGCCACCACTTGCCATTCACCAGTGCCAGAAGTTCTGATGCACTCAGCTCTGGAGCCCAGTTCTGTTGGGGAATGAGTGACTAAGTAGGGAATTTGACCAGAAAACTAACCAGGTGTCTCTCTGGCAGGAAAATTGAAGCCCCCTTTTCTGAAAGTTGAAGACCAGAGCAGGTAAATTAGACCTTCCTAAATATCCTACCCTAAAACCTCGGGGTCTCTCCTTCACTGGTTTCATTCCCAGGGACTGTTCTGCCCATGAGGCAGAGCCTGGCTTCTGTGCAGACCCTGTTCCACACTGGGAAGTTGACTCTCTCCTAGGTGGAGTTTAGAGAAACAATCCAGGTGTCTTGTGTGTCAGGGAGAAAAAAGGTGTTAAACAAGACTTGACAGCAATTTCCTTCCATGTGTGATCCTCAGCAGGTCACTTAATCCCCCCAAGCCCTCGGCAGTGAGGAGTGAGATTGAAGCCCGGGAGGTCAGGGCCTGTAACTTGAGGACAGCCTTGGGCACAGGGGACCTGATCCCTGTGGTGTTTCTGAGGAGTCTGTAACTCTACCAGCATCCACAGGGCCAATTAATTATTCCAAAGGCAACATTTAAGGCATCTCAATTAAGAGTCAAATACTGGGGTTTACATGCTGCATGCAATGAAATGTGAGGGGAGAGATTGTGGCCTGGGAATCAAAACCCTCTGTGCAGTGGGGTAGCTGGAAGTACTGCACTGCTCTGCCCGGGGGCAAAAGGTGGAATTTGGGCTGAGCAGGCAAACTTGCCTTCTGTCCAAAACATGCTCCATTGGGGCTGTTACTGGGAATTGGGTTTAACACTTTAACTGTGTTAAATTAAATGAGAATTTCATTCTCATATGGAGTCAGAAATGGGAACTCTGGCACAGCCACAGGAGAGCACTGGGCAGCATCTCATTGTAAATGAGGTGGCACCTTGAGCCCCTCCAGGCTAGAGGAGGGACAGCTCTGAAGCCTTGCTAGCACTGCCATGAGTCTGATAGCCTGATCTGCTGCTTCCAGGCAATTCCGGCCCTTCCACCACCAGTTCCAAAGCTTTCCTGACCTCAACTTCCTGGCACCCAAAAGCTCCAGCCCATTTGAGCCTCTGAAAAGCTTCTCCATTTCCTGCCAAGCCAGGTAGGCTGCTGCTCCTTCTGTGCAAGTGTCTAACCCCACTCCTCACTGCTGGTTCCTGGGCTCTGGGAACCCACCTGCCTTTGTGCACAGGAGCCCTGTGCTGGTCCCTGTGGGGTGCAGGCAGCTCAGGCAGGGTGAGGTGACCCTGTCTGTCCCTTGCAGGGGTGCTGAAGGCTGTGCCCTGCACAGCGCCGGGGGGAAGAGCCCCCGCTCCACACACGTCACCGTGCCCAGGAAAAGGAGGGGGTTTTGTGAGTGCTGCCAAGAGACCTTTGAAGAGCTGCAGAAGGTAAAGGTTCCCCTGGGACCTGGTTCCTTGCAGGAGTTGTGGGGGGAGCACAGAGGTTTTGTTAATCATGTCATACCTGTTAGCACTGTGAGCTCCTTCGGGAGGAATTGCTGCATCCAGCAGGATCTGCCCCTGAGATGGGAACGTGGTATATCTGTGTGCCCAGACCAGCAGGTCAGAGCACAGGGGGGTTGAGGGATGGAGCACAACATGCTCCTCTCTTGGGCTGCAAGAGCCTCAAGGATCATCCTATTGCACGATCCATAAGGTGAAGAGGCTGTTCCGTGGCAGCCATGGGGCACAGGCAGATTGAAAAGGTGGGAGGAGGTTTTTTATTTCCTGGAAGGTGCCAAGCAGGGGGCTTTCAGAGCCCAGCTGTTAGTGCCAGACAGTGGTGGTGGAGTCTATTTCCTGCTGCTGGGGAGGCTGTGGGCTGCCCTTGGATCCAGACACAGCCTCCTCATCAGCAGGAGCAGGGAACAGGACACTGTGTGTTCCCAAACCTGGCAGACATTGGCTCTGTCCCTTTGCCCTCTGGTCTGTTAGGCTGTAGGAAGTGCCTGTTACTGCAAATTCCCCTCCTGGCAAAGTTTTGAGTGTTGTTAAAGGGCCTCTGCCACCTTCCAGCATCTCCACAGCGCCCAGCACCAGAGGTTTGCTCAGGACAGCTCCCAGTACATCCCTGTGGACCGTGTCATCTCCCAGCTCACCAACAGCTTCGTGGAGTGGTCAGCCAAGTAAGTCTGGGGACCTGGGAACTCCTGGAGCCCACAGGCAGCAGGGTGCTGCATGGCACATCCATGGAATGGGTCCCTGTGCCTGGCAGTCAGAGGCTGAGGCAGGACCAACTTGGCACCTGCTGGGTAAAGCTTAGACAAACCATGGGAGTTGTTCCTGCATTTCCATGGGGTTTCTCCTTCAGGGAACTCCCCATGGACTCCTAGTGACTCCTAAACTAGAAAGGGCAGCTGAGCCTGCCTCTTCTGTCCCTGTGTCTGACTCAAACCCTGCTGCTCTGTAGCCCCCCCGTGCTTGGGCATTGGGATGAAGAGGCTGAGATCCCCTGCGCTGCCCATCTCTGCCAGCAGCAGAGTCATTCTGAGCCTCACCATGCTAAAAGTGCTTCCCTGCTCCTGAGCAAGGGCTGCAAACGCTCTGCCCTGCAGGAGAGGCCTTGTCTCCCTGGGGGGAGTGCTGCTGGGGCTGCATGAGCATTAACTGATGGTTCCTCTCAGGGTGCCCTGGTCCTGCCTGGCAGATGAACGTGTAGTGCCTCAAGCACACAGCGCTGGAGGAATGCAGCTGCTGCCAGCAGAGCTGGGAAAGGAAGGGGAGCAGCCTGAGCAGGGTGCTGTGGAACTGGTAATGGATACAGAACTGGATCATGGCCTGAAGAGCCAGGGACATTCCCCCTGCCTGCCCAGAGACAGGATCAGAGATCCCAGAGGAGGAGGGGGCTTGCCAAAGCACAGCTCCCTGCAGCTGCCAAGGGGAGCAGGGCTCAGCAGAGGGGTCTATGCTGCCCCTGGTACCATTGGGGAGGCTGGGCTGGGGGCTTCAGGTTTAGGCTTGGCTCCTGAGCTGGGCTGGGGGCCTCGTGCAGCACCCACTCCTGTCAGAGAGGCAATGGCTTCTTCATCTGAACCTCATACACAGCCTGGCTCTGTCAGCCACCCTCCCCAAGCACAGCCTGCCTCCAGGAAGCGCCAGCTGTGCTCCAGACAGAGCTCCCCGGTGGGAAAGAGGCCCAGGCTGGAGCTGGGGTTGGGCCTCTCCCCTCTGGGTGAGCAGATGGAGCCGGTGGGTGGTGGGATGGGGGCACAGGGTGCAGGGCAGGTGTCTGAGCCAGCCCTGCCTGCTGTGCTGGGGGCTGGCAGCCTGCCCCTGGGCACAGAGCTCTCCAGCAGACCTCACAGCTCCCTTGCTGTGGATGTGTGCCTGTGTGAGAGCCCTGGGGACCCTGCATCCCAGCCAGGATCCCTGGGAGCTGTGGCTGCAGGTTTGGATGCTGGGGAGGCAGCTGCAGCCAGCACTGTCAGCGAGTGTGGCTGGAGCAGGGAGAGACCCCAGGGGAGGCAGTGCAGAGGGGACAGTGACAACACACCCAGCGATGGGAGCAGGACCAGCTGCCCTGCTGGCTGCCTGCCCTCTCCCACACTGCCTGTGGCTGCAGCCAGATGTTGCTGCTCACTCCGTGTCAGGGCAGCAGAAGCGGCCCCAGGAGCTCCCGACGTGCCCAGGCAGGGCACAGAGCGGGCACAGAGCCCAGGGGCTGCTCACACCTCCAGCAGGAGCTCCTCGGGGTCAGACTGGGATGTGCAGCTGCTCCCCAGCCTCTCAGGTGTCCAGGGCTGCAGGATCCCAGCTGTGGACAGGGACTTGCTCCAGCAGAGACACGTCAGTGTGAGGGACAGCGGGTACAAGTCTCAGCTCTGCTCCGTGCTGAAGGAGTCAGAGCTGGCCTGGGCAGGCCGAGAGGACAAGAACTGCAGGAACTGCTGCACAGAGACCAGAGGAGCCTCTTTTCCCATACCTGGGACGTTGTTTGGCAGCTAAAACCACCTCCAGGCTGCTCTCTAGAGCCTTGGTGGGAGCTGAGAAGGGGTTGGGGCGGGATTTACCAAGACATCTGTGCCAGGACCAGGAGGCACATCCCAGAGTGAGGGCAGCACTGGCAGCCTGGGCAGCTCTCCTGGTGGGAACTGATGGGGATGCAGTGGCTTCCCTGTCCTTGACTCTGATCTTCCCTCTCTGCTGGCCACGTTTGGAGCCAGCAGCTCCTCTAAGTCCTCACAGACACTGACACAGTGGTGCCTCTGGAAGCCTCTCTTCTATGGCAGAGGGAGAGCAGAGCCTGTTCCTCCTCTCACATGGTCCCCAGAGCTGCAGAGACTTGGGACAAGAGGGTCATGAGGGTGAGATTTGTGCTCCTCATGTGGTCTGGGCGTTGTCTTTGCATATTTTCAGGTGGTTTTAACTTGTTTGAGGTTTTTTTACAAACTTTTGAACTTTGAAATAAAATGGAGGGATAAGATTCTGCTCTGCCTTACTGTGGGTGGAATGTGTCTGGGGGCAGGAGCAAAGCAGTAGGGGTTGAGGGAGGAAGTTTTTTTGTTGGAAGGGGTCTGTGGGCAATGGGCACCATGCTGAAGGGGGCACAGGGGTTTGTCCAGCCCCAGAACACCACCCCAAATGTGGTTTGCCAGCAGGTGCTGGGAAGCTGTTGTACCCAGTGCAGGGGTGGTGCCCAGCAAGGAGGGGTGTGGAGAAACTGGAGAGCCTGTTCACCTCTCCTGGGTGTGGGGCCAAGGGATGGAGCTCAGGGACGGGCTGGGCTGGCTAAGAGAATGTTCTGGAGTGTCTAAAAGCAGCCCTGTGGCTTCTTGAAGGGTAGTTCCAAGCAGAGTGGATCCAAGCTGCTTCCAGGTGCAGGTTGGAAAAAGGAAAGGCTCAGGGCCCAGGAGGGTGGGACAACCCTGGACCAGGCACCCAGAGGAGTGGGGTCTGTCTGTCCTTGGAGATGTTCAGTCCTTGAGTGAAGGACAGCACTCCCTCCTTACTCCAGGCTCAAAGGCAAGGCTTGAAGTGGGATTGTGTAGTGGGAGCAGGGACTTGGGACACACGAGCTTTCAGAGGTTCCTCCTGAGCTAAATCCTGCTCCAGTGCAACAGCCACACTCCAGTTCTTTACCTGCTGCAGCCCCTCTAATGGTGGGCAGAGCAAAACTGTGGCAGGAGCTGAACCCCACTGGGCTCCAGTGCCATGGAGATGTCCCTGCAGCCACGGGCAGGAAGGTGATCCCTGGGAAGGTGATCCCTGGTGTGCTCAGGCTCCTGAGGGAGTGCCCAGCTCTGTGCCCCAGGCAGCAGAGAGTGTCCTGGGGACAGGAACGGCCCCTCCAGGCCCACCAGAGCTCCAAGAGACCCCTGTGGAGAGTGGGATACCTCACGGTATTGAGCTGACCTGGGAGATCAGCAGTTGTCTGACCAAGCCAGGCCCTTCCAGGGAGGGGAGAGAGACCCCCAAGTGCCATCTGCCCCCTCCTCATGCTGACCAGTGACTTACACCATGGAGTCCCTGCCCTGGGGGAGTGAAGCAATTGCTTCATGGCCCCTTGGGGACCCTCTAGGCCTTGGATCAGGTGTTCAGGCTGGAGATACAGAATCTTGAAATGGTTTGGGTTGGAGGGGACTTAAAAATCATCCAGGGACAGGGACACCTTCCACTAGAACAGCTGTTCCCTGGCACTGGGTGTAGATCCAGCCTCCTGAGCACCTCTTGGGCCCTGGGAGGGACTGTCCCCCTCGGGTGGCAGCCTCAGAGCTCCTGAGGAGCCAAGCAGGTGCTGGATCATCTCTGCTGCAGCTGGTGCTGCAGTTCCTCTCCTTGCTGCACAGAGGAAGAGGAAGGTCCAAGTGGAGCAGGTCCCAGTTTGGAAGCCCTGCCTGCCCCATGCTGATCCATCTGTAAAGGACCATTTGGCAGCCAGGAGCCCCCAGTGTGGCTGAGGAGGTGCTTCCTGGAGCCTGTTCTGTGTAGCCCCTGTGGGAGATGTCCCGTGTGTGAGTGCCACCCCCACCTCACAGCCTGGGTGGGCTCAAGGCCCCCAGTCTGAGCATGGCCCTCAACTCCTCCTCTGCTCAAACCAGGCTGAGATGCTGCTGCCTCTCAGCTTTCAGTTCCTCTGCCAGCGCTGGGGCTGAGCTGCAGAGGGACTTGCTGGAGCCATAATACAAAATGGGCCAAAAAGGTCCAAAAAATTGTCCCAGAGGAGGGTGAGAGGTGTGAACTGGGAGTTAAGGGCCCCTAGTTTGCCAGTCTGGGGGAGCTCCAGGGTTTTCCCAGGGCAGCTGAGCCCCTGTGCCCTGGTCAGACACAGGCAGAGGTTGCCCATTGCCCCCATGGGCAGCGTGAGCACCTGCCCAAGGATGGCCCTGGGCACCCCCAGGAGGAAGAGCTGGGGCTGGTGGTCTCCAGGTCTGTCTCACCCTCACTCCTCTGCTCTGTGATGGTTGGTGTATCCATCCCCTGAGGCTGGAGCCTCTGTGCCCTCCAGGACAGCCCCTCCTGGGGGTGCCTGTGGCTGTGCTGCCTTCCCCCAAAATCAGAGCAGAGAGAGACTCTGGTTTCTGATGTTTCCTGAGGGTGGGGATCCCACAGAACCCTTGGGTGACATCACCCAGCCACAGGGGACGGTGCAGAGCTGCCCCATGTTCCCAGTGCTGTGGGCACCAGCACGGCCTGGTTCCAGCACCATCCCCTTGGCACAGCCCTGGCACCAGTCAGGGGCTCAGCTCCAGCTGGGAGGGTGGTGCTGGTTGGGAGCTTCAGTGCCAGCTGGGGGGCTCTGATGATGGTGTGGGGCCTGGTACTGGCTGGAAGCACCAGGACAATCTGCAGGGGCTCTGGGAATGGCTGGGAGCCAGCTGGGGACTGCTCAGGGACTCGGTACCAGCTGAGGGGAGCACGGTGCAGGCTGCGGGCCTCCCATCCCAGCTGGAGTCCCTGCGCTGCCTGGGGAGCCTGGGGCTGGTGTTGGCAGGGTTTGGGACTGGCTGGAGGGGCTGGTGCTGGTGTTGGCAGGGTTTGGGACTGCCTGGAGGGGCTGGGGCTGGTGTTGGCAGGGTTTGGGACTGGCTGGAGGGGCTGGTGCTGGTGTTGGCAGGGTTTGGGACTGGCTGGAGGGGCTGGTGCTGGTGTTGGCAGGGTTTGGGACTGGCTGGAAGGGCTGGGGCTGGCGTGGGGGTCCTGCATTGCCTGGGGGGCAGCAGTGGCTGAGGTGGGGTTTGATTCTGTCCCGATTCTCCAGAGCTCGGGAGGTCCAGTATTGCCCGGGGAGTTCTCGTGTCCTGGTGTCCCTGTCGCGGGTGGCTGTGGGGGGACACGGTCTGATCTGGCTGGGAGGGGTCTGGCACTGGCGGCTCCCTCCGGTCCCTGCTGCTGCGGGGTGCCCGGTACCGTTCCGGGGGTGATGGGACCGGGAGCCCCGGTACCGTTCCGGGGGTGATGGGACCGGGAGCCCCGGTACCGGCCGGGGGTGCTGCCGGTCCGGGCTGATGCCGGCGGGGCTCCGGTGCTGCAGTGCCGCGGGTGCCAGCGGCGCTGCGGCAGCCGGGGCGGGGAGGGTGGAAGGGGCCGGTACCGGGGGCGGCGGGGCCGGGCGGGGCGGGGCGGGCCCGGGGCGGCGCTGCCGGTGCCGCTGCCGGCGCTGCCGGTGCCGGTGCCGGTCCGGTCCGGCGGGCCCGGGGCCGCGTGCGGGCGGGGCGGGGGCGGCGCTGCCGGCCCGGCCCGGGGCGGGGGGGGGCCGGACGGGACGGTGACGGTCCCCGGTGCGGCGGGCCCGGCGCGGCCGCTGGCGGAGCATGAGGGAGCCATGAGCCCGCTGCGGGGGTGGCTGCTGGCCGCGCTGCTCTCGCTCGCCCCGCGGGCAGGTAGGTCCGCACCGCGCCCGCTCCGGCATCGCCGCGGTACCGACCCCGGTACCGACCCCGGTACCGGCCGCGCATCGCGCCCGCCGCGCTCCCGGCCCCGCATCGCCCCGCTCCGCTCCCGGCCCCGCCGCCGCCGCTGCGGCTTTTTCGCTGCATCGACACATTTTTCCGCAGCGCCGCCCCGCAGAGCCCCGGGAGGGGCCGGGCCCGCGGTCCCCCCGCACCTGCCCGGCCCCGGCCCCGCAGCCCCGGCCCCGCACCTGCCCCGGCCCCGCACCGACCCCTCAGCCCCGCGGCCCCGGCCCCGCACCTGCCCCGGCCCCGCTGTCCCCGCAGCGGCCCCCGCCGTGCTCCCTCTCCGCAGCCCCCCATGTCCCCTTCAGGATGTGTCCCCATCTCGGATCCCCCGTTCCCTGCATGCCCCATAGATGTCCTCATAGCAGCCCTCCACGTCCCCTTGGGATGTGTCCCCATAGCGGCCACCCACCGCGTCCCCTGGCTGTCACCTCCAAAGGTGTCCCTGCACCATTCCTGCTGTCCCCTCGTTGTCCCCTCTAGGGGGATGTCCCCACACCAATCTTCCATCTCCCATTCGGTGGGCCCATCCCAGCCCTCTCTGTCCCCTGGGTGTCCCCTCTGAGATGTGTCCCCATTCCAGCCCACTCTTTTCCCTGCATGTCCCCTCCAGGATATGCTGACCCCCACCCCAACCTTTCCTCCAGGTGTGATGGCATTTCTAAGCCCCTCCTCCCCTGCATGCCCTCTTCTGGGATGCATCACTTTATCAGCCACCCATGTCCCCTGTGTGTCCCCTCCAGGACGTGCCACTGAGACCTGAGCTCCTCCACCCAGCTGCGTTCCCCTCCTGGGCACCCCCATCCCCTGGGCACCCCTCCCAGCCCGTGCTTGCTGCTGTCCCCTCCTGGGCATGCCTGGATGTCCCCTGGGACAATCCCTGTACCCACCTTTCACGTTCCCTGGGCATCCCATCCAGGACGTGAGTGTCCCTTTCTGGGACAGTGCCATGCTTGGATCACCCCCTGAGCACGTTCACCAACTCTGTCCCCTCGTGTTCCCATCTCCCTGTCCCTCCTCGTCCCCTTGTCGCCAGGCCCCTGTGTCTGTGTCCCTTCTCCTCCCCAGGTCCCGTCCCCCCAGCCCTCTCAGGGTGGCCGTGACGCTGTCCCCTCTCCCGCAGGTCCTGCCACGCAGGCCGGAGCGCTGCCTCGGAGGCTCCCACGGGCCGCATGGCAGGAAGGGCGGGTGCTGTCCCAAATCACCCACCCCAGCAGGCTGGTGGGGCACAGCTCGGGCGGGGAAGTCCCAAAGCATCAGTTGGACACCAGGGTCAGGCATGAGCCCAGAGAAGGAGGAGGAGGAGGACCCGTAAGTGAACGACAGCCCCCAGCCCTCTCCCTTCCCGGGGTTCCTGGAAGGCGGCAGGTCCAGGTCCCGTACCAGCATCCCGAACCGGACCCTCGTCCCGCCAGGGACCACCCCGCTGCCGTGCTGCCCGGAGGAACACGGATTTATGCCGCAAAATCCCGTTAAATCTGGGCACCGGGGCCGGCGGGTGTTGGGAGAGATGAAACGGGAGCGGGCAGGTGGCGAGTGGGGCTCCACAGGAACAGACCTGTGGGTCCGGCAAGGACGGACTCAGCCAGAGTGGGAGCGGCCCCCCGGTCCGGTCCCAGCCGGTGCTGCTCCCCAGCCCAGTGACCCCAGCCCGGCTCGGGCACCGGGCAGTGACCCCAGCCTGGCTCTGGCACCGGGCAGTGACCCCAGCCCGGCCCGGGCACCGGGCAGTGACCCCAGCCCGGCTCGGGCACCGGGCAGTGACCCCAGCCCAGCCCGGCTCGGGCACCGGGCAGTGACCCCAGCCTGGGCACCGGGCAGTGACCCCAGCCCTGCTTGGGCACCGGGCAGTGACCCCAGCCCGGCTCGGGGCACTGGGCAGTGACCCCAGCCCGGCTCGGGCACCGGGCAGTGACCCCAGCCCAGCCCGGCTCAGGCACCGGGCAGTGACCCCAGCCTGGCTCAGCACCGGGCACCGGACAGTGACCCCAGCCCGGCCCGGCTGTCGCTGCGTTCCGGGGGCAGCACACGCCCCATCCGCCCCGGGGGAGTTGCGGTGTTGGCAGCCGCCGAGCCCGGCGCCTATCGATCCCCGTGCGCGCCGGATAACGGCGAGATGAGGAGCTGCTCTGGCCGCAGAGGTGATTTACACCCGGTGTCGAGTGAACCCGCCGGAGGCCGAGAAGCGGCGGAGATCGGGGGCGGTTCGGGGCTGCTCCCGGCGGCACAGCCCGAGGGATGCGCTCGGGGCCCGGGGCATCCCTTCCCTGTGATGACAGACGCTCCTCTGGGTTTGGCTTTTCTGCCGTTTCCCGTGTGCAGCACCGGGGGAGCCGCAGCCGGTGCCGGTATCTCACCGGTGTGCTGTGTTTGCCGGGTCTGAGCCGCGCCGCAGCGCTCGGTTCCCGCTGCCGGCGGCAGGAATTGGGTCAGCGGCGGCACCGCAGGGAGGGAGAACGGGAGAAGCGGCGGCTCGGCTGCCGGGGACACCCCGCGGCACCCCCAGCCCAGCACGGCAGCGGCGGGGCGGGCGGTGGGATGCAGCCCCAGGGGAGATGGGTTTAAGAAAATGAAAAAAAAAAAAAAAAAAAAAAGGTTTTTTTATGCTGAATTTTTTTTCTGTTAAAAAAAAAAGAGTGCATCTTCACAGGGGCTGCACCTGGCACAGGTGAGCTTCATGGTGCGTGCCTTCGGCTCAGCCTTCACCCTCGATCTGCGGCTGAACCAGTGAGTGACCCCGCGGGGCTGGCAGGGCTGGGGGTGCCCGGGGCTGGGGGAGGGAGGAGAGGGACCCATGGGATGCCAGCGCCCCCCCAAACTGGGGGTGCCGTGCTGGGGTGATGCGCTGTGTATGGATGGTGGGTGGGCTCCCACCCCGGGGCGGTGCCCTGCACGTGGATCGCTGCTGTGTCTCCCTCTTCCTCCTCTTCCTCTTCTTCCTCCCCACCCCACGGCCTCTTACCCCTCTCCTGCTCCCGGCAGTCACCTCCTCGCCTCCCACTACGTGGAGCGGCACGTCGGCGCGGGCAGCAACGGCAGCCAGAGCACGGTAAGATGTGTGCCACGCTGTGCCACGCTGTGCCAAACCGTGCCACGCTGTGCCAAACCGTGCCATGCTGTGCCAAACCGTGCCATGCTGTGCCAAACTGTGCCATGCTGTGCCAAACTGTGCCACGCTGTGCCAAACTGTGCCATGCTCTGTCAAACTGTGCTGTGCCAAACTGTGCCATGCTGTGCCAAACTGTGCCATGCTGTGCCAAACTGTGCCATGCTGTGTCAAACTGTGCTGTGCCATACTGTGCCAAACTGTGCCATGCTGTGTCAAACTGTGCCACACTGTGCCAAACCGTGCTGTGTCAAACTGTGCCAAACTGTGCCATGCTGTGTCAAACCGTGCTGTGCCATGCTGTGCCATGCTGTGCCATGCTGTGTCAAACTGTGCTGTGCCAAACTGTGCCATGCTGTGCCAAACTGTGCTGTGCCATGCTGTGCCAAACTGTGCCATGCTGTGCCAAACCGTGCTGTGCCACGCTGTGCCAAACTGTGCCATGCTGTGTCAAACTGTGCTGTGCCACGCTGTGCCAAACTGTGCCATGCTGTGTCAAACTGTGCTGTGCCATACTGTGCCAAACTGTGCCATGCTGTGTCAAACTGTGCCACACTGTGCCAAACCGTGCTGTGCCAAACTGTGCCAAACTGTGCCATGCTGTGCCAAACCATGCTGTGCCACGCTGTGCCAAACTGTGCCATGCTGTGCCAAACTGTGCTGTGCCAAACTGTGCCACGCTGTGCCAAACCGTGCTGTGCCAAACTGTGCCATGCTGTGTCAAACCATACTGTGCCATACTGTGCCATGCTGTGCCAGTGCAGGGGTTGTGGTGGCATAAATCCCCCAGAAGTCCAGGACTGGTCCCCAGCAGTTCATTATCCCCCTGGGTGCCCCTGGGTGCCCCTGGGTGCCCCCGGGTGCCCATGCCCTGCTGGCTGCCATGGTGCTGGGGGATCTCCTCGGGCGGGAGGTGCTGGGTGCTGTGGGCACCCCCTGAGCCCGGTGCAGCCCCGGGGGTGCGGGGCAGGGTGGGACCCGCGGCTCAGCGCCCGTCCCGCTCCGCAGGGCGCGGGGGAGCACTGCTACTACCAGGGCCGGATCCGGGGGCAGCCGCGCTCCTTTGCTGCTCTCTCCAGCTGCCAGGGCCTGCGGTGAGTATCCCCCTGCCAGGGGGGGGCCGGGGGGCTGCACCCCCTGCACCCCGACAGCTCACCTCTGTTTGCAGCGGGGTCTTCTCGGACGGCCGAGCCACGTACCTGATCGAGCCCCAGGCGGGCACCGAGCGCGGGCAGGTGAGCCTGGCACTGCCCTGTGCCCGCCTCAGTACCCCAGGGCGGCTTTAGGGCTCTGCCTGTGGCTTGGGGACAGCCATGGGGACAGCCATGGGGACCTGGCAGTCCTCCCCTCCCACGCGTGGCCGTGACACACCTCTCTCTCCCCATGGCAGGATCTTCGACCACACGTCGTTCAGCGCATCCCCAGCTGCCCCCGACTGGGTGAGCCTTCTCACAGAGCTGTCCCTGGGGATTGGTGGCCCTGTGTCCTGGTGTCCCACCCCACCTCTGTCCCTTCCCTCCAGGCTGCCTCTTCCCTGCGCTGAGCCAGCGTGTCCCGGGTGGGATCCCAAAGCTGCGGCGGCGGCGGCAGGTCAGTGGGGACAATACAGGGCAGGGACAGAGGACACGGGCAGGGGACAGATGTGCCTGACCCTGCTTGATTTCTGCCTGTTGGCTGCGGGTGCCCTCAGGCCCCTCCGTGGGTGCTGTTCCTGCCTGGGCTCGGGGGTGACAGGGAACAGTGGTGGGGCTGCACCCCAAACACATCCAGCGGCTCTGCCCAATGCATCCCCGTGATTTATTTAAAAAATATAGATATTGATCTAGTATCGATATCCAACTGTGACAGACAAAAACTCTCTAACAGTTTAAAGTTACAAAGTGTGTGTTTATTGTGTGTGGGATTGCTCCCAAATCCACACTGCCCCTTCCAGGTGATTACAGAGTCTTTTTATCCATACAAGTATTGAATATACAAAATACAAATACATATTCATCATTTTGGTACATCCCATTCCCCACTTCCTATGCTAATCACTCCAAAAGCCATTCAGCATGCGTGGTTTGTCCCTTGAAATGGGTCGGTGTCACTTTTATGGGGAGGGGTCCCAAAATGAGGAAGTCAATGAAGTCTTCCTCGTTCTGACCTTTCTACCTTTTCAATGCAAATGTGACAAATGAACTCTTGGTAGAACTCCCATTCCTTGTCTTCAGTTGGTTTCAGAACAGAGGAGGCCTACAATTGTCTTATGTTCCTAAAAGCTATTTATCAGTTTCTATATTCTTCATTATAAACCCAGCTAACTAAACATTGTGCTGACAAGCAATTAATTATTAGTTAACTACTAACTCCTAACTTCATCAAGGCCTACTCATTTATTATTCTTATTTTAATTAACTCTAGTAAGGCTTATTTCTAACTAAAATCTTAGCTCCTCAAAATCTCTAAATTCCTCAAAGTTTCCGTTTCACCCGGAGGGCTCGGCAGCCCCACCGGGTGCCGGTGCAGCTCAGCCGCGGTTCCCCCTGCAGGTCCGCCGAGCCCAGCACACGGTGCACAGCGAGACCAAGTACATCGAGCTGGCCGTGGTGAACGACCATCAGCTGGTGAGCAGGGTGGGGTTCCCGGGGCTGGTGGGGGCGGTCAGGGGTCGGTCTGGCCGCCCCCAATCCCACCCGGCCCTGGTGTGCCCCCAGTTCCTGCAGCTCCGCAAGTCCGTAGTTCTCACCAGCAACTTCGCCAAGTCCGTGGTCAACCTGGCTGACATGGTGAGAGAGGGTCCCTGGGAGGGATTTGTCCCTGGGGGGATTGTCCCTGAGAGGATAATCCCGGGCATCTGAAGGGTTTGTCCCTTGGGGCCTTCATTCCCCTTCATTCCCAAGGGATTTATCCCCAGTGGGCTCATTCCTGGAGAGAGGCTTTATCCCCCATCCGGGCGGGTTTGTCCCTGGGGGGGTTATCCTTGAGCCCAGCCAGCTGGTGGATTTGTTCCCAGGGAGTTTGTCCCTAATTCCTGGTGGTTTACCCGGGGTTTGGTCCTCAGCACCTGCTGGGCTGGTCCCTTGAGGGTTTGGCCCCAGGGAGTTTGTCCCACTCTTGTTTTTCTCTTTTTCACCTGGGGGGTTTGTCCCACCGGCCCTTTGTCCCCGAGGAGTTGTCCCTGGTGACGGATGTGTGTGTCCAGCTCCAGAAGTTGTCCCCAGGGGTTTATCCCAGGAGCTGGTGGGTTTGTCCCTGGGAGCACCGTCCCTTTGTCCCCACAGATCTACAAGGAGCAGCTCAACACCCGCATCGTGCTGGTGGCCATGGAGACGTGGGCGGCCGAGGATCGGATCCGGATGGGTCAGGACTCCCTGGAGACCCTGAACGAGTTTGTGAAGTACCGGCGAGAGGGGCTGGCAGAGCACAGCGACACCGTCCACCTCTTCTCGTGAGCGCTGCGGCCGCGTGTCCCCCCCGGGGCCGGGCACAGCGTCCCCCGTCCCCACCATCCTCTTCCTCGCAGGGGTCGGACGTTCCAGAGCAGCCGCAGCGGCACCGCCTTTGTCGGGGGCATCTGCTCCCCTGCCCGCGCCGGCGGCGTCAACGAGGTGGGTGCGGGGAGACCCCCGCCAGGGGCTGGGGACAGGGGGGGGTCCCTGCGGTGACACCGCATCGCTCCCGCAGTACGGCAACGTGGCGGCCATGGCGGTGACACTGGCACAGACACTGGGGCAGAACGTGGGCATGATGTGGAACAAGCACCGCACGGCCGCAGGTACCCACGCACCTCCCGCGGGGCCCTGGCGAGCGTGGGGACACGCCGCGGTGCCACCAGGCTGGCGGCAGGACAGTCTGCAGCCACAGCCTTCTCTTCTCTTCTCTTCTCTTCTCTTCTCTTCTCTTCTCTTCTCTTCTTCTCTTCTCTTCTCTTCTCTTCTCTTCTCTTCTCTTCTCTTCTCTTCTCTTCTCTTCTCTTCTCTTCTCTTCTCTTCTCTTCTCTTCTCTTCTCTTCTCTTCTCTTCTCTTCTCTTCTCTTCTCTTCTCTTCTCTTCTCTTCTCTTCTCTTCTCTTCTCTTCTCTTCTCTTCTCTTCTCTTCTCTTCCCTTCCCTTCCCTTCCCTTCCCTTCCCTTCCCTTCCCTTCCCTTCCCTTCCCTTCCCTTCCCTTCCCTTCCCTTCCCTTCCCTTCCTTCCCTTCCCTTCCCTTCCCTTCCCTTCCTTCCCTTCCCTTCCCTTCCCTTCCCTTCCCTTCCCTTCCCTTCCCTTCCCTTCCCTTCCCTTCCCTTCCCTTCCCTTCCCTTCCCTTCCCTTCCCTTCCCTTCCCTTCCCTTCCCTTCCCTTCCCTTCCCTTCTCTCCCCTCCCCTCCCCTCCCCTTCCCTCCTCTCCTCTCCTCTCTCCTCTCTCCTCTCTCCCAGGGGACTGTCGCTGTCCGGACGCGTGGCTTGGCTGCATCATGGAGGACACAGGGTGGGTGCCCTCTCGGGGTGGCACTGCCACCATCCCCTGCCACCCTGATCAGGGTGTGGCGGTGTGACAGAGACCCCCGTGCCACAGGTATTACCTCCCACGGAAGTTCTCCCGCTGCAGCATCGATGAGTACAACCAGTTCCTGCAGGACGGTGGTGGCAGCTGCCTCTTCAACAAACCCCTGAAGGTAGTGACACCCCCCGGCCCCTCTGGGGGTCACAGCGATGCTCTGGGGGGCCCGTGGGGTCCCTGCGGTGTCCCCACAGCCCAGGTGCTGCTGGAGTGGAGGAACCTCGTGCCTGGCAGCAGTTTGGGGGTGCTGCCATTCCCCGGGGTCCCCAGCAGCCCCCCTGTGTGTCACACCTCTGTGTGTGTGTGTGTCCTGTCCCCCCTCGGCCCCGGCAGCTCCTGGACCCCCCTGAGTGTGGCAATGGCTTCGTGGAGGCGGGCGAGGAGTGCGACTGCGGCTCGCTGGCGGTGAGCAGGCTCAGGGCTGCTGCTCCCCCATCCTGGGGGGCTGCAGGGCTGCCAGGGGCTGATTCCGCTGCTGTCCTGGCAGGAGTGTGCGAGGAGCGGGGGGAACTGCTGCAAGAAATGCACCCTGACCCACGACGCCATGTGCAGCGACGGGCTCTGCTGCAAGGGCTGCAAGGTGCGGGGCTGGGAGCATCCAGCAGGTCCGGGTGTGGATCCAGTGGGGTCCTGGTGTGGATCCAGTGGGGTCCTGTCCCGCTCCTGCTGAGTTGGGTTTGTGCCCCGGGCAGTACGAGCCACGTGGAGTGTCCTGCCGGGAGGCTGTGAACGAGTGTGACATCCCTGAGACCTGCACCGGGGACTCCAGCCAGGTGAGCGGGCCAGGGAACACGGTGTGACACGTCGTGGGGCCTTGTGGCATCACCCAACCTCTCCTGGTGTCCCCACAGTGTCCCCCCAACCTCCACAAGCTGGATGGATACTTCTGTGAGAACGAGCAGGTGAGTTCAGACCAGCCTGGGCACATCTCCACAGGCTCCAGCACCAGGGCCTGTGCATGTTGGAGGTGCCTTGGGGACTGTCCAAGACCCCGCTGGACAGGGCTTGGGCTGCCAGCCTGCATGGCCTTGGCACCTTCCCTGGTGGAAGGTGTCCCTGCGCATGGCAGGGATGGAACTGGATGGGCTTTAAGGTCCTTTCCAACCCAAACCAGTTTGTGACATTTTGTCAGCAATCCCAGCCACAGCTGAGCCACACACACACAGGGGGATGTGTGGGGGGGGCTCATTGTCCTGCAGAACCTCCCCAGGGCACATGTGTGAGCCCCTCTCCAGCCTTGTCACCCCTGCCCGGTCCCCTGACCCCTCTCCTGTCCCCTGAGCCTCTGCCAGTCCCCTGTCCCCTCTCCTGTCCCCTGAGCCTCCACCAGTCCCCTGACCCTTCTCCTGTCCCCCGAGCCTCTGCCAGGACCCCTGAGTGTGCTCCTGTCCCCTGAGCCTCTGCCAGTCCCCTGTCCCCTCTCCTGTCCCCTGAGGCTCCCCCAGCGCTGTCCCCTCTCCTGTCCCCTGAGGCTCCCCCAGCGCTGTCCCCTCTCCTGTCCCCTGAGGCTCCCCCAGCCCTGTCCCCTCTCCTGTCCCCTGAGGCTCCCCCAGCGCTGTCCCCTGTCCCCTCCCCGCAGGGTCGGTGCTACGGTGGGCGCTGCAAGACTCGGGACCGTCAGTGCAACGCGCTGTGGGGCCGCAGTGAGTGCTGGCCGGGGCCGGGGGGACACGGGGGTGACAGGCAGGTGACACTCGCTCTCTGCCAGGCTCGGACACGGGGGTGACAGGCAGGTGACACTCGCTCTCTGCCAGGCTCGGCCGAGCGCTTCTGCTACGAGAAGCTGAACGTGGAGGGGACGGAGCGGGGGAACTGCGGGCGTGAGGGGCTGGGCTGGCTGCAGTGCAACAAGCAGTGAGTGACCCCTGTCCCCGCGGTCCCCGCGGTCCCCCGGTGCCACCTGCCACCCTGGTGACACCACCGCTGCCTTCAAGGGACGTCCTCTGCGGTTTCCTCCTCTGCGCCAACATCTCGGGGTCTCCGCGGCTGGGGGAGCTCAGCGGGGAGATCGCCACCACCACCTTCTACCACCAGAACCGCTACGTGGACTGCAGGTGGGTGCCACCCCGGGCACGGACAGGGCTCCGGTGGCCCGGGGGACCGGTGCCACCCGCTGGGGCTGTCCCGGTGCAGGGGTGGACACGTCCAGCTGGTGGATGGCTCGGAGCTGAGCTACGTGGAGGACGGGACACCCTGCGGGCCCGGGATGCTCTGCCTCGACCGCAAATGCCTTCCAGCCACCGCCTTTAACTTCAGCTCCTGCCCCGGCAGCTGGGACGGGAAGATCTGCTTCGACCACGGGGTGAGGCCCGGGGCCGGGGGGACACTGGGGAGTGTCACTGTCGCGGGGGGTGACGCTGTCCCCTCGCAGGTTTGCAGCAACGAGGGGAAGTGCATCTGCCGGGCGGAGTGGACGGGGAAGGACTGCAGCGTCTACGACCCCATCCCTGAGCCCAAACCGACGGGGGAGACGGAGCGATACAAGGGTCCGTGTGTCCTTGTGCGGGGACACGGGCTCCCTGCTGTCCCCGGCCACACGGGCTGGGCTGGCCCGCCTTGTCCCCAGCCACACCGGGGCTCAAGAGTGTCCCGCTGGGCATGGCTGGGTTTGCCCCTTCCCAGGTCCCCACAGCACTGGGACTGCCCTGGCGCTGTGTCCCCATGTCCCCGCACCCCATCCCCGCTGAGGTGGGTCCCCATGGATGGGTTTGCCTCCCTCCCGGGTCCCCACAGCACTGGGACTGCCCTGGGGCTGTGTCCTGGTCCCTCTGTGCCCTCCTCCCTGACGTGTTCCCTGTGGCTGGGATTGTCCCTTTCCCATTCCCCATGGCACCGGGACATTTCCGGGGCTGTGTCCCCATGTCCCCGTGTCCCCTTCCCACTGACGTGTGACCCTGTCCCCTCCCTCCTGTCCCGTCTGTCACAGGTCCCAGTGGCACCAATATCATTATCGGCTCCATCGCGGGGGCCGTGCTGGTGGCTGCCATCGTCCTAGGGGGGACAGGCTGGGGATTTAAGTAAGCAGCCACCGCATGGCTCGTCCCCCCTGCTGCTGTCACCGGCCACGTCCCCTCTGCACACTGTCACCACGCCAGGGCCAGTCCCCCCGGCTGGGCATCCCCCTTGCTGTGGCCTCTGGTCCCCCTGGCCCTGCCTGGTCCCCTGTCCCAGCCCTGCCTGCCCCCCGGCCCTGCCTGCCCTGCCCTGCCTGCATGTGCCATTGGGGTGTCGCTGTCACCCCCACCCCGTGTCCCTGTCCCCAAGCATGGGGTGCTGGGGGGTCCCCGCGTGTGCTCCTGCCTGGCACCGGGACACTGCTGCTGCCTTGGCACCGGGGACAGCGGGGTGGGGGCACGCACCGGGGGGACAGCGGGGACACGGGGGTGGCACTAATGCTCCTCTCTCCCCCCCTGCCACCCCCCCAAGGAACATCCGCCGAGGAAGGTACGACCCGGCGCAGCAGGGAGTGTAACCGTGTCCCCCCCATCGTCTCGTCCGTCCCTGTCACCGTCACCGTCACCGTCACCGTCACCGTGGCAGCCTGACGGCGTGGGAGCCCCCGGGGCCGTCTGTCCGTGTGCTGTGTGTCCGGCCCTGCTGTCTCCATCTCTGTGCCCCCCCGGCTGAAGGGGAGCAGGGCTGGGGGGGCCTGGCAGCAGCCCCCCCCCCGCTGCTGGCTCATTTCAGCTCAGTGTCCCCCCGTGTGTCGCCCCCCTGTCACAGCCCCCCACTAAACGCACCCCACTTCTGTGTTGCAGGTCCGGGGGGGCCTGAGCGGGGCCGCTCTGCCCCAACCCCCCCCAGCGCCTCATTAACAGCAATTAAATGGGGCGGCGCTGCCGAGGGTCCGGCCCAGGAGGACAGAGGGGAGGGGGCACCCGGGACCACCCCCCGGCCCCCCCCGAACCGCCACGAATGTACGGGGGGACCCCCCGGACCCCCACAGGCAGCACTGGATGGATGAATGAATGAATGAATGAATGAATGAATGAATGAATGAATGAATGAATGAATGAACCTGCGGGGCCAGTGGGAGCCCCGGCCCACACCCCCCCCACCCTCCAGCAGCATCTTCCAGCGGGGCCCTGGCACCCCAAAAGGCAGGCCAGTGTCCCCAGGACAAGGCCAGTGTCCCCAGTGCCAGGCCAGTGTCCCAGTGCCAGGCCAGTATACCCAGTACCGTTCCCAGTTCAGGGCCTGCAGTCCTGTCCCCCACCCCCGGTGCCTGGGTGGGGTCTCACAGGGACTGAGTCCTGCACCCCCAGATGTGCCTCCCCGCCCCCAAAGCAGCTCAGCAGCCCCGTGTGGGGTTTGTCCCCTCAAATTCTCCCCTGATCCCCCATGTCACGGCTGCGCCCCCAAGCCATGGCACCCTGCAGTCCCCAGGGGTGGGACAGGCACCCACGGGTGACAGTTCTCCCTCGAGGCCTCCCCACCTTCCCCAGCTCAGGCAGGCGAACCCCAAACTGGTGGCACTGGGGTTGGGGGGGACAGAAGGGCCCCCCGGGGACACAGGGCAGCTGGCCAGGGGGCACTTGTCACCCCAGCCCCGTGGCAGGTCGGGGGGTGGCATCACCCTCTCCCTGTGGCACGTGGCAATGTCACCCTGCATGGGGTGGCTTTACAGAGCCACCCAAACCACAGCAGCACGGAGCACTGGGAGCCACACTGGTCCCTTTAACCACTGGTGACACTCAGCATGGAGGGGGGACATCCCTGGTGACACTTGGTGACACAACCCGGTGTGTGTGTATGTGTGGGGACACTCCTGGGGACACTCAGCACAGGGACAGCGGCAGTGTGGGGCTGTCCCCTCTGTGTCCCTGTCCCTGCCCACCAACGGGTCCCTTTGCCGTGGAGACAGAGAGTGACCAAGGGTGTCCCCAAGCCCAGCCATGTGTGTGGTGGCACCCAGCCTGCTGTGACAGCCCCACCGGACACCCACAGGTGCCGTGGCTGTGGTGGCACCCCAGGGGACAGGGTGGGAGGTGACAGCAGGGCAGGGGTGGCCGGACATCCCCTGACTGGGATCTGGTGGTGGCTTCTTGTGTGACATATCAGCTGTGGGCTGGGACGCGTGGGGCCCTGGGACCCCCGTGGGCATCAGGGGCCTGGGATCAACCCCCCACCTCTGTCACTGTCACCACAGTGTCCCCAAGCTGCCACAGCCACAGTGCTCCCGCGGGACACCCCCACTTCAGAGCAAGAAGCCGCCGTTGTCACTGGGTTTGGGGACATTAATAGATATATATAGATATATATATATATAAATACTGGGATTTTTCTTAATGATTTTAACGCTGTCAGGGCGGGAGGGCCAGCGGCGGGGTTGGGGGGCACCCGGTGCTTCCAGAGCCAAGAGAGCAGAGCCCCCCCAGCCCTGCTGCTCCCAGGGGTCCGTCCCGTCCCGGGGACGAGCACAGCGGGGCGGTGTCCCCGTCCCCCCCTGTCCCCACCGCCGCCACCCGCACCGCCCGCTCCGCTCCCGCCGGGCCCGGCCCCGGCTCCGCTTTGCACGTTCTGGAGCCGCCGCTCCGGGCTCGGCCGCCTCCCGCAGTGCCGCAGAATTGATTTACAATAAAGATTTGGAAAAGGATGCGGCTCCGCTTCTCACCCGCGCGGGGAGGTTGGGGACGGGGCGGGGGGAGGGAGGGTCCCCAGATTTCATCGGGGAGGATGCTCCGGTCCTTGGAGCCCTCCGGCTCATCCCACCGATCCCAAACCCGCCCTGGCCTGAGCGAAGTCAGGGACACACCCGGCATGGCTCCCGAATGGAGGGGGTGGCACCTGGTGAGTGTCACCAAGCTCAGATTTGCCTGGCTGGGGACCCTGTCCCACTGTGGGGACACCGGGGTGGTGAGTCCCTGTGCAAGGGCACGGCTCCATCCCTGTCCCAGCACAGGGACATCGCTCCATCCCTGTCCCAGCACGGGGACACGGCTCCATCCCTGTCCCAGCGCGGGGACATCGCTCCATCCCTGTCCCAGCACGGGGACATCGCTCCATCCCTGTCCCAGCACGGGGACATCGCTCCATCTGTCCCAGCACAGGGACATCGCTCCATCCCTGTCCCAGCACGGGGACATCGCTCCATCCCTGTCCCAGCACGGGGACATCGCTCCATCTGTCCCAGCACGGGGACACGGCTCCATCCCTGTCCCAGCACAGGGACACGGCTCCATCCCTGTCCCAGCACGGGGACATCGCTCCGTCCCTGTCCCAGCACGGGGACACGGCTCCATCCCTGTCCCAGCACAGGGACACGGCTCCATCCCTGTCCCAGCGCGGGGACACCGCTCCATCCCTGTCCCAGCACATCGCTCCATCCCTGTCCCAGCACAGGGACACGGCTCCATCCCTGTCCCACACGGGGACATCGCTCCATCCCTGTCCCAGCGCGGGGACATCGCTCCATCCCTGTCCCAGCACATCGCTCCATCCCTGTCCCAGCACAGGGACACGGCTCCATCCCTGTCCCACACGGGGACACCGCTCCATCTGTCCCAGCATGGGGACATCGCTCCATCCCTGTCCCAGCACGGGGACATCGCTCCATCCCTGTCCCAGCATGGGGACATCGCTCCATCTGTCCCAGCATGGGGACATCGCTCCATCCCTGTCCCAGCACGGGGACATCGCTCCATCCCTGTCCCACACGGGGACATCGCTCCATCCCTGTCCCAGCACGGGGACATCGCTCCATCCCTGTCCCACACGGGGACATCGCTCCATCCCTGTCCCAGCACGGCTCCATCCCTGTCCCACACGGGGACATCGCTCCATCCCTGTCCCACACGGGGACACGGCTCCATCCCTGTCCCAGCGCGGGGACACGGCTCCATCCCTGTCCCAGCACGGGGACATCGCTCCATCTGTCCCAGAACAGGGACACGGCTCCATCCCTGTCCCACACGGGGACATCGCTCCATCCCTGTCCCAGCAAAGGGACATCGCTCCATCCCTGTCCCAGCACGGGGACACGGCTCCATCCCTGTCCCAGCACGGGGACATCGCTCCATCCCTGTCCAACACGGGGACATCGCTCCATCCCTGTCCCAGCACGGGGACATCGCTCCATCCCTGTCCCAGCGCGGGGACATCGATCCATCCCTGTCCCAGCGTGGGGACATCGCTCCATCGCTGTCCCAGCGCGGGGACATCGCTCCATCTGTCCCAGCGTGGGGACATCGCTCCATCGCTGTCCCAGCACGGGGACATCGCTCCATCCCGGGGACACCACCTCAGCTGAGCGAGTCCCCTGCAGGTCCTGGCAGCCGGGGACAGTCCCCAACTCCCGGAGGGACCCACGGGGATGGAGCAGAGCCCCAGTGCCGAGCCCTCCTCTCACACCGACCAGGAGAGGGCTCTCCCAGCCCGGCCACGGACGCGCAGGAGCTGCTCCCACGTCCCCAGGACGCTGCAGGGCCACGCGTGTCCCCGCGGGGCCATCCCCGCTCGGGCTCCGCCGCTGGTCGGGGTCACCCCCGGGGGAGCCCCTCTGTGCCCGCCGGGGACAAGGAGCAGTGTTGGGTGTCCCTGTCACCCTGTCCTGGGTGTGTTGAGGACAATTCCTGCCCCCGGAGCGGGGCTGGCCGTGTCCCTGTCCCCGCCGTGCCCTGCCGGGACTCGCTCCGGTGTCCCCGGGTGGTGGCAGGGGCAGCTCTGCCCCCGGCACAGGTTTGGTGCAGTTCTGCTCCATCCACAGCAGAGCTGTGCCACAGCACGGAGTTATTTTGGGCTGGTGTTGAGATACCAGCGCGATGAGTGAGTCAGAAATATTCCAGATGCACTGGCTGCTTCTGAATCCCGAGTTATTCAAAATCTTCAGGGTTGGGAGGGCAAAAACCATGAATTTAAGGGGCCCAGCTGAGCCTACTGCCCTGCAGGGTCACACAGCACCCACAGCTCCGATCAGGGCAGGGTTTCTCTGCCAGGGGCTGGGACACGAGGACAGCACAATGGGTTGGATGTGCCTGGCAGAAGGGAGATGGTCCCTGGCCAAGTGCCCAGGAGCACCAAAGCTGCAGGAGGCAGCAGGTCTGGTGCCCAGAGACACCCAACACCCCGGGCTGCCCTTTCTCTGCATCACAAACGTTCCTTTCCAGCTCCCCCTGTGTGCCCCAGGCACAGAGCATTCCTTCTTCTTTCTCCTAATTCACTGTCATGTCAGGGACATCCCCGTGCTCAGCTCTGATCTCCACTCCTCACCCACTGCTTTTACTGCACCTGCCAAAGGTCAACCACAGCGCCCATGGGAGCAGCCACAGCCTCCTGTTCTCGTGCTGAGGTCAGAGAATCAGGGAATTGTTTATTTGGAAAAGCCCTCCAGCATCACTGAGTTCAGCCATTCCCAGCACTGCCAGGGCCAGCACTGCCCCGTGTCCCCAAGTGCCACAACCACAGGTTTTTAAACACCCCAGGGACAGCCCTGGGCAGCTGTGCCAATGCCTGACCACCTTTCCAACAAGAAATATTCCCAATATCCAATCTAAACCTCCCCTGGCCCAGCCTGGGGCTGTTCCCTCTCCTCCTGTCCCTGTTCCTGGAGCAGAGCCCGACCCCCCGGCTGTCCCCTCCTGGCAGGAGCTGTGCAGAGCCACAAGGTCCCCCTGATCCTCCTTTTCTCCAGGCTGAGCCCCTTCCCAGCTCCTTCAGCTGCTCCTCATCAGCCTCCTGCTCCCTGAACTTGAGAAAAAAAATCCAAGCAAATCCCTCATTATTAGTAAACCCCAAGCAAGAAGAGCCCAACGCCTCCCCCACACTGTGTCTGTGCCATTGCATAATGGGAAACCCTCAAACCCAAAATCTCCCTGCTCCTCTGCTGGTTGGAGCTCATGATTGACCATCTGGCTGTGATTTCCCAACTCCATCCACGGAGGAAGGCGCCACTTTTGGGGTGAGCACAAGGACAAAAGGCCCTGAGGAGTCCCCAGGGAGGGGTCAGGGCCAGGCTGGGGGGGCTGAGGAGGCTCCAGGGGACACATCAGAGGGTCCAGAAGCACCTCTGCAGTGTGGAGAGGGGGAAACATGTCTTGAGGGGTGTGAGCCACGGGGGGACAACCGTGGATCCACGGGGTTATCTGCCAGGGGAGGGAAAGAGCACCCAAAAACCAGTTCCACAACCGAGGAGAGGAGAGGAGAGGTCACTCTGGCTCTCTCCACAGTGTGCCCTGTGATGGATCACCTTCACCGAGCCTCTCTAAGTTGAGGCCTTTATTTGATACATGGAAAATTCAGGGAAATGGATGGGTTTGTCACCATGGAGAAGCTCAGCAGGAGGAGTATGCACACCTCAGGTGGAAGCAGATCCCAGTTCTGCCTCGCCCACGATGGGAATTTTGCTTTTTAGCTCCAGATGGAAACAAGAAACAAAGCCATGCATGGGAAAAAGGGCATTTGGGGAAAGAGGCTCCTGGCTCTCCCTCCAGCCCCCTGCCAGGGGCAGGGACACCTTCCACTGTCCCAGGCTGCTCAGAGCTCCATCCAGCCTGGCCTTGGACACTTCCAGGAATGCAGGGGCAGCCACAGCTGCTCTGGACAACTTGTGCTGTGCCTTACCACTCCAGGAATAAAAACTTCCTTTCTTAAATTTCATTTAAATTGATCCTCTTTCAATTGCAAACCGTCACCCCTCATCCTGCCACAACAGGCACCAGTGAAGAGTTTGTCCCTGTCCTCTTATCCCCTTAAGTGCTGAAAGCCCTGTGATAACACAGCCAGAGTCACCCAAGGAATTTGCAGGGGAAAGCCGGGATTGTTCAGCTTTTAGGTAAAGATACCTGAGCTGAAACCTTTGCTGCCCATTTTGAGTGACCCCGACCCGATTTCTGCCGGCAGAGGGAATCCCTCAACAGCAAAGGACACGAGCAGAAACTCGGGGTTCCGTGGCTGCCCACCAAACAGACTGAGCTCAAAGCCCAAAAAATCACTTGTAAGGGTTCTCAGAGGCTTACGGGGCTCAGGGTGAGGGACCTGCCAGGGCCCAGCATGGGGATGGAGCGTCCCCCTTGTTATGAACAAAACAGCCTTGGCTTTAGCTAAGTACTGACACTGAAATGTTAATTAGCTAATTGCTCCTGGGAATCACCTACCGCCCCACCCTCACTGCCATCCTAGCACTGGGATGCAAATAGAGGAAGCTGTGGAATAGTGGGAGGGGGTTTTGGGGATGAAAACACCCCTAAATGGAAAATATGGGCACAGAGGAGGGGGCTGGATGGGTGCGCTGGTTGGGGAAAAGGGAACCACATCCCTGGTCTGTGTCTGACCTGCCACCAGAACCTGCAGAGGACTGGACTGGGCTGTTTCAGCAGAGCGCTGAAACTCAGTGTGGGGGCACAGAGAAAAGGTGAGAGGGGCTGAGTGAGCCCCGGGGCAGGAACAGCCCAAATTCCCCGGGCAGAACGAGCAGCATCCCCCGGTGCCCTTTGAGGAGCGCTCCCCCTCCCTGCCGGGCGCTGCCTGCATCCCTCGCATGTTTGGGACCCTTCCAGGGCCAGGGAGCAGAGGTTGCCGAGTTAAACTGGCAGCTGACAAAGAGAAGGTTTTGTTTTCTCCATTTCCTGAGCTTTTCTTCCCAGTCCTTGAGAATTTAAA